GCCGTAGAAAATAGGAAAAGAAAGCCATAATAAGGAGATAGTATAAAAAGAAGATCAACTTTATCTAACACTAAGGATATCCAAATGAGTGTCCATTTATATTTATGTAAATATACATAGTGTCCATATAAATATTATAATACTCAAATATTGTTGCATTATAAGCATATAGGTTTAAAGTTACACTCTATATAGTAATTATACTAGATCCATGCTAAAACCAAACCAAGTCAAATTTAATATGACTACTCTTGTGTGTCTAAATGCTACTATAATGCATGTCCTTATAGTGATTGCATGTGATTGGAAAATATTCATTTACTTATCGTCCCAAAGAATGATATCGTGACTGCATGTGCACGATCGTACCAAATATGTACTTTATCGTTCTGGTACAAGTGGTTATGCTGGTATTGTGCCTTGGTCCGTCGAACAAGCAGGGGTTGTGTTTGAACGCCATTGCACAAACTAGTCTGCAACCCAGTTCACGGACAGGAGATTGTCCGCTTGTTGGGTCGAGAATGAGAGGCACTTTCGAAACTAACCTATTGATTGGGTGTAGGATATTGAGCACGTAATCGTGGTATAAGATGGAACCGAATTGTCATTGATAATCAATACCAATATCCTTTATTATGTATGTCATTTATTTGTTTTCTTTGCTTGTCGAGTATTATTTATGTCAGGTCTATGTTTGCATCTAAAATTTAAATACACGGATCTCACTAAGCTGTGTAACTCACTCCACTATTAACAAATTTTGTAGACACTGATTTGGATATTGAAATGCCATATGAATGACCTAACAATCAGTAGATGGATTGTTTTAGTTGAATCTCATGTAAAAAGACTAGGAGTGAAGATTGTTTGGTTTATTCCGCTACAATGTGTAATAATATTTTCTATTGTAAAATTTAATAAAATAATTTGTGTTACAATAAAAAAAAATAAACTATTATGTTAGTCAAGTGAGTCCAGGCAAAAATTGGACAATCCACTACCAATAAAAACCTTGCTACGGGGTGGAATTGGGGTGTGATGAATGCTACTTGTTTACTATGTTTTTAGACTCAGACCGGGTATCGACTCGATCGATCTCAGAGGTCAATGTGTTCGATCGGAGTTGAACTAGATGACGTCATAAATAAAAATTATATTGTATGTAAAATACCTAAGAGTATGTTAATATTAATAAAGGTATATTCATATATATTTGATGTTTCAAATATATTTAACAAGAAAATACAAAGAAATTAGAACGATCAAGTAGCAATTTATATTATTTAATGAACATTAACAAGTTTAGAATTAAAATTATATACTTGATTGAAAAATAACATCAAATTTTAGGACAATTAATAATTTGTAATAACTTAGGGATCAAAACATAATATTTAAAATGTTTGACCTTTTTTAAAAAAAGGCTTTGACTAAACCGATTCTTCCGGTTTTTTTCTATCAAACCCGATTTTGATCGAATTTTTACTCAACTGATTTTTTAAAATAATTCGGACCGAACATTTGACCGATTTTCAATTCGATCAGATCGGACCGACCGGTCCGATCTGAGTTTAAAAACATTGCTTGTTCATCACTACTTCCATGAAAAGGTACTGCTGCATAAAGTATACTAAACCATATTCAGGAAGAATTGAAAACTGCAAGTCCACGTCATATTTGATCCGGCCAGCAGACGGATTTGCTCATGAAGACGGTAAGTGTAAGTCCACATCATTTGTGTTAATTTTTATAATCTCGATGGAGATGCTTTCCAACTGGGACAAGTAATACAAGGCTAGAGTCATCCAAACCAGACCATTGGGCCCTCAGCCTCTCACAGCATTGTGATTTTAATTCCGACCAAATTAAGCTGTTTTTGCTGAGGCCGGCCTTAAAAGTGGTGAATGTGGGACCCAAATTAGCTATGTAAAAGAGAATTAATTGGCAAAAATTATCCTAAATGTAAGCTGTTAATAATCTGAAATTCTGGATTAAACATTCTGAGTCGTATATTTGCTCAAAAACTAATTGGACCCCATTTGAAACATATAAAAAAACAATTCTCATACCAAAAGTTTTTCAGATTACCAAAAATTGGACTTCTTAAACCACAAACACTGAATCACAAAATATATATATATATATATACACCACAAACACTGAATCACAAATTGCCTGAAAAAAAATTACTTTTTCAGATGGCAAAACTTGAAGTGCCCGGGGCAAAAGCCGGCTATGACGAGAAAACAGATGTGGTGGTGGTTATGGTGCCCCTTCCAGCACAAGGGCATCTCAACCAGCTCCTTCACCTCTCCCGCCTCATCTCATCCTACAACATACCCGTGCACTTTGTTGGCTCGGCCACTCACAACCGCCAGGCTAAAGATCGAGTGCATGGATGGGATCCTCTAGCCATTTCCGATATCCGTTTCCATGAATTCCCACTACCTTCTTTTCCAACGCCTCCACCTGACCCCAAAGCCCCTACAAAGCTGCCCACACAGCTCGTCCCGGCCTTTTTCGCGACGTTGCATCTCCGTGAGCCTGCTTGTGAACTTGTAACCAAACTCTCGAGCACGGCAAGAAGAGTTGTAGTAATTCATGACTCTCTCATGTGTTATGTTGTCCAGGATATGCCATCCATCCCGAATGCCGAGTCTTACTGCTTTCAAAGTGTTTCGGCTTTTGCCCTCTACTCTTACGTCTGGGAAGCCATGGGAAAACCGGTCCTGGCCGATGGAGAACCAGTAAATGCCCTTTTATCCACTCCCGAAAGCGTCTTCCCAGAAGAGTTGGCAGAGTTCTTCAAGGTGCAACAAGAAGCAAGAAAGTGTAACTGGGGAAACCTGTTTAATTCATCCAGATTGATAGATGGTGAATATCTTAACCTTCTTGCGGAAATAAAGTTCGATGAAACAGAAAACAATTGGGCAATCGGTCCATTTAATCCTCCGGTGATAACTGAGGACCAGAAATCTAAAAAATCCCATAAATGCTTGGAATGGCTGGACAAACAAGCTCCAAAATCAGTGATATTCGTTTCATTCGGTTCAACAACTTCGTTATCGGATGAAGAAGTGGAACAGATCGCGATTGGATTGGAAAGAAGTGGACAGAAATTCATGTGGGTCCTAAGAGATGCAGATACAGGAGATGTTTCTATTGGAGAAGGTAGGAAAGCTCAACTGCCAGAAGGGTATGAAGAGAGAGTCGATGGAAGAGGATTTATACTGAGAGAATGGGCACCGCAGTTGGAAGTTCTTGGCCATCCGTCAACAGGTGGATTCATGAGCCATTGTGGATGGAATTCATGCGTGGAGAGCATTAGCATGGGGGTGCCTATGGCAGCCTGGCCTATGCATTCTGACCAGCCAAGAAATGCTATCCTGGTGACCAAGATTCTCAAAACAGGTCTAATAGTGGGGGATTTAGCCCATCAAGATGAATCTTTTAAAGCAGAAGTAGTTGAAGATGCTGTAAAAAGACTGATGAATTCGACTGAAGGACAAGAGATGAGGAAGAGGGCAGAAGAATTAAGTGATGCACTTAAGCAGTCAGTGATTAAGGGTAGTGATAATAGCACTGAGATGGATACTTTCATCGCTCACATTACTCGGTAGATTTGTTTACTAGAGGATCATAAATTTAATCGAGGGAGGTCACCAGGCTTTTGGAAAACTTTTCTTGAAAGTTGAATTCCACCTAGCTACCAGATTCATGAATAGTACTATTTGTCAATCCTTAATGTTACAATTATCAAAACTTCTAATGACCTTTTTGATAAAATAATTTCTCATTAAGTTTTCTGGTTGTATGGCAATAAGCCAGTGCAGAATGTAACCACAGCCTTCACCTATGACAAAGCCCAAGACAAAGTGACTGAAACCAATTGTTACAGCTACAAAAGAAACACCAGAAAAATCAAAGCATTGCCGCCCAGAGCAACAGCAGTGGTGGGTTCATGATTTCGGTGTTATAGAAAAGGGTAAATTACATTTTACCCCCCTGTGGTTTACCCTTTTTTTTACATAATCCCCCTATGGTTTCAAAAGCTATACATAACCCCCTTATGGTTTGGATTAAAGTGTCAAAGTAACGGAAATAGTCACTCGTAACGGAACTTCTAAAAATGTCAAAATTACCCTTATAAATACATAACACATCAACCCCCTATAATTTTTATATTTACTATATAACCCCCCTATGGTTTAATACTTTACCATATAACCCCCTTATGATTTTCAAAATATACACATTACCCCCCTTGGTTAATACATAAATTTCAACTTTACATAAGGGTATTTTTGACATTTTATGTGACGCCGTTACGAGTGACTATTTCCGTTACTTTGACACTTTAATCCAAACCATAAGGGGGTTATGTATAGTTTTTAAAACCATAGGGGGGTTATGTAAAAAACGCTAAATCACAGGGGGATAAAGTGAAATTTGCCCTATAGAAAATGACATTACGCTGAAAGAGATACTCTCACTTTTACTGCCAATTCATACGCGTGCGTGTTTCTCGAAGTATTATTTGTCCCATTCTGCATTTGCAATTTTGTCCTTTTGAAGTTCGAAGTCTCAACTTCTCCATCAGTTGAAACTCGTAGTCTAATGACATGGATTACAATGGAAAGCCTTGAGAGGCAATGCTAATCAAGTTTAACAGATTGAATTCTTTTCTAAGTAATTGACTGGTTACATCCTTCAATTTTAGTTTAAGAGTGTACTTACTTTCCTACCGTCACGTCAGAAAAAGAAAATGTCCAGTAACAAGAATCTCTGTTTTGGGGTTGTTGACGAGGAGGAAAAGGGATACAGCATTTTGCTACATATTCTACATTGACACTTAAGTGTAGCATATGTCAAGAAAATTTCAAGTCATGCTTGGATACCATCCACCTGATAAAAAGAAATTTTACTAATCATGAAGTTAAAATGCAACTTAATCATGCAATGAGCTCAGCTTCAGGTAATTTTAGCTCGAAAAACATCACTAAGGAGAACATGTAGAACTTGGATTTCTATTGCTACAATTTTCTTGAAACTTTCCTTCGATCAAAGCATAATTTAAGATTATTCTGTCAATGCAAAAGGTTAACATTTCAGAGTTATGTATCCTAAACAAGTATTACAACTAACATTGAGAAATGTAAAATAAACAAGTATAAGAACTAATTTTGAAAATGTCCATCTTCTATTGCTTAGTCGACGAATCAGGGGCTGCAGAGGTTCTTAAGATCCTCTTCCACGGCATACCAACTAGGTATTATCTTTGGAAGATGGGGATGGAGATCTTTGAAAGAATTTCTGATTGTGCCTTCTGCAACTCCAGTAGCAACTGAAACATCTGCAGCCATAATATCTTGTTCAAGCACGTGAATACAATAGCCACATCAAGGGGGAAAAAAAACATGTTTCATGAGTTTCTAGTGAGAATCAAAATCTGATAGAGGGAGTGGTAGTTGTGAAGTAATTTGGACCCATGCATCAAGGAGCTCTTCAAATTTCCAATACAGATACTTACGAAATGGCATCCTTACGTGAGGATTACTTACTTTTGTAATTTTGTTTGGACTATGAACATTACAATTTCACACATGTGCATCCCCAACTATTCACAGATAATTGTTTACAAAGTGCACTTTTTTTAATTCTGTTTTATTTGGAAGAGGGTCAAGTCCTAACAAATGAGTCGACATGGTTTCGAACTTTTACCTTTAAGGGGCTTCTTATTGTCTGAAAGCTGCGTGACTATGTATATAACTGCAGCAGCAATAGATATGGGACTCCTCCTGAAAAGAGAGAGAAGGGCAAAATTAGCAGAAACAAAGTTTGAGGGGAAGAAGCCATTGAAATACATGATTATCCATGTGCTTGGCAAACTGGAAAAGTTAACGAAAGCTCATGATAACTAAGATGGCAAACAACACAAGATGCAGAATACCAGATAGGCATCCAGTAGATGTACTTAAACATACAGATATAAACAATCCAACAGAACCAGATAATAACAGACAATAACAGTTTCAAATTGACCCCTGCACCCTTGCCTCATCTCTCAAAACAAGTTACATGGACAACCAACAACTAGTAATCCAATCCATGTTCAGCCTGTTTACACAGAACACAATTTTGAGAATGTCAAACTTAAGGTACATAGTAACTCATCAATGTTCACCCTATTTATAATAACTAATCTATTGGAAGTTTCGTAGCACCCACTACAATCCAAAAAATGGTATACCTCTACCCCTTCTGTCAATTTCAGCTGTTAGGCTCACTCTTCTCCTTTAGTTTCATGGGGGTTTATCTCAACTCACGAAGAGTTTATTCCACCTCACAATTTATCATTTCTTTGCAGTCAACACCGGATCCTCCATCTGCCCTTTTCATTCCTCTGCCCCTAATCTCTTTCCTTGTCTGCTGCACCCTTATTTGCACGACCTTGCACCAGTTTCACCATCCTAAAAGCTGGCATGTATTCAGTCCCTTCATAATTAAAGGAAAGAGGTGCAAGTAAACATTGCCACTAAAATATCTCCCATCAATCCCATTCTTTATTTGTCAATAACTCATTATGGCTAGCACAAAAAATGAGGATGAGAAACAGCCTGAAGAAATGGTACAGAGATGTCATCATCGTGGATGGCTGAGGCAGGGGCTTTCATTGTGTGATCATTGTAGGGTTTGGCAACTGGTTGGTCTAGATCCTGGTTTGTATGGTGTTATGGCAGAGCCGGGGGGTCTAATTTTGTGGTCATTAAGGGATTTGCCAAATAGATGGTGTATCTGTTGGTAGACTTGTTAGATGGGGTATCTGTTCGTAGACTTGTTAGGGGAATGTGGAATGGAATGAAAGATCTTGTGAGGGTTGCGGTGGTTGCCCAGTAGACATACAAGATTGTGACAGAGGGCTGGGAGAGATTTTGAAGAATACGGATGGTGGTGGAGATGTTTAGCAACAGGATTTGGTCTCAAAAAGCTGGAGAAGTCCAGGGTAAGAGAACCACCCCTTTTCTCAGTCTCATGTTTCTCTCAACATACTAAGAGAGAAAAGAGGAGAGCCTTTTATATAGACTTATTGAAGTCTTCCTCTTGCTATATATATTTTCAACTCTCATGTTATCCTTGCAAGGATTTTAATTTAACAAATTGCCACTCACACAAGGGGACAAAACAAAAAATGAAGTTGTTGTGTCCGTTGAAGTTCATTATATCAAGTGTGCTCGTTCAAATTCATTGACTTGTAGATCCAAGCACGTGCATGTCAAACATAAACCAGGTTACCTTATGTCAAATTCTTCTGATTTCTGTACAGCTTCCTGGGCAGCCTTAACTGCTTGATTTGTCATCCCAAGATAAGAACCAAACCGTCTCTGAAAGGACAAAAGATTTGGCCAAAAACAAAGATTAAAAAGTTGCAAAAATCATCAACCAACAAAGAAATAGGAAAAGACGTTGCTTGAAATTTTTTGGAGGAAATGGGACAAAAGGTACATGACAAATATTCACAAACCTTACCATGAAATCCCCAGCATGTATTGCTCCCATTTCCACAGATTGACCCATCTCAAGCTCCAGCTGTTTCACAATGTATTCTTTTGCTCGGCCAATTTCCTTCTTTGTTGCACCATTGGCAACAGAGCAAATTTCTATGTGAAATCCACAGATTCAAGAAAACTCATTCACGGTACAAGATAATTCAGTATGCATTCAATTTAAACTTAGTCTGTACCCTTTACAGTGCGTGGCTTATCCTCTTGTCTACAAGCAATATACAGGCAGGCAGCCAGTATAGCATCCTGATTTCTCCCTCTACTAGACTTTTGATCTTCTACCTTCTTGTATATCTCATTAGCCCGATCCTTTTAATCATATCATTAAACCAGCCAGTAACAGTAATGTAGCCAAAGAAATTTCAATCAAAGAAAAGATAAATAAAGACATGAAGGTAAGAAAGGGACGACAAGAAAGAACAAAGTTCATCCACAAGTCCATGTTACTTATGAATGTGCCCGATATTTCGGCCATGATATGTCCTGAAAGAAGCAAATTCTATGCATGCAACTAGAAAAGCAAAAAGTAAAACATCAAATATCAATAATGTGGGAGGCAATCAAGATGAAAAGGCCATTTAAGAACTCAATTGCAAAAGAATCCTAAAGGACATAGTTGACCAACTTGGCTTGATAAATCAAAACGATAGAAGTTAGGAGCTAAACTTCAGATTACTTGCATCTTAAAACAGAACTAATCATTTCCAAACCTTATTGTCCGGGTAAAAGGGGGGGAAGCATTTAGTTTGACATTTATACCACCTCCTAACCCTGCCACCCTAACAACCCAGCCCTAAAATAAGGAAAAAGGCAAGAAAACAACTCTATTTCATACCTTAGCCATAACATGGTTTAAGCATAGATCTCGTATAATGTTTTCTCTTACTTGGGCTAAGTTTCAGATAGTATCATTGGCAAAGGCCTAAAAATGCTATGCAGAAAAGAAAGATAGATGGATACTACAGAATATTAACCATTTCTACTCCTAGGATGGAGTATACAAGTAGAAACCAAAATCCACTCATTTTTAAAGAGGCGATACATCCAAAAGCAAACATTTTCTTTTGTAAGAGACTAAATATCAAACAAGAGTCCTATGGCCAAAAATCTTAACATGATAATGAAACTAAAGATGAGTGAGACCAGTATACCTTAATTGTTGCAACAAGGCCCAACCTGCAAACAAAGTTTAGAGGGTTAGTATTTTAAGAAAGATGACTGACATGATGAATAGACAAAAAGAGGGACAAGATAATGTACATGCAAAGCAATAGACTGCCCAAAACATTGTGCAAGTTGAAAGTCCACAATCAACCATAAAACAATCAATTGACTTGTGAAGAAAAGCAAGCGAATAACTGAATTAATATCCTGAAAACATTACAAAGTTAAAATGAGCAATTGCCTAAGATGACAGTACAACATATTGATAAACCTTAGGTACAGGCATAACCAGTGAAAATTGGACAATATAGACTAGTTCATTCCTGTCACTCCATCTTCTCCCTCCCACGATCTAAGCATAACAGGCTTGGATGTTGCAAAACCTAACACCCAACATTGATAAGATAGTACCTTCTTTAACCTTCCAAGGATCAGGTAAACAGCGCTGAATCTTAAAATGAAGAATATAAAGCAGATGAAATCTAGAGACACTGGGCTAAACTACAAATTGTGCTGATCGTGACCTAATTCAACAATTCTTCCATCCAAGTAAATACAAAAATAACAGTACAGTGCAACTGCACACATGTGCAACAGTCCTTTCATATCTATGTAATTTATGTCTGTCCACAAGCGCACAAATTGTATGATCAGAATGTCTACCATCATCACAACCGATAGGCTGAAATTCCATTCATTAACTTCCAACTGGAAAAGCACTACTTACCCTCATGACAACGATTTTGCCCCAAATTCTATCTCCCGCACTAACTTCCATAATGGGAATGAAGGATGGTAGGCTCAACAGGTAACCAAAGGACAATTGAAGTAACAAACCAAATCGAACTGACTATCACTTGCACACAGCATGCCTCCATTGTCTTGACATGGTCAATTACCTTTTCCAAAATATCCCTTCATTTCCTTAATACTTTGTATAGATAATCCAAGATTCTCAAAAAGAAAACTTTAACAGTAAATCTCTCCAAAATTTGTTCACAATATTGCATAAATCAACCAAAAAAAAAAAAAAATCACTCCCAACAATCATCTCACAAATTATTAGAATAAAATGATCCCAAATTTCATTGAATATCACTTTTCCAATTTCTCATGACACCAAAAATTCCCTTTCCCAGTGAGCATAAAATCCAAAATACATCACAATTTTCAACCTAAACCACAACAAATAAATTGAATAACATCCCCAAGAATCCATAAAAATGTCAAATTCCCCTCCCAAAATCCAATTTTTCATATAATTCCACAAAAACCGATCCCGAAGATCCAAAAATCACATTACATGCATGAAAATCAAGAAACAGCAAACGACATGCAGTAATCTCACACTAACCCAATCCCAGAATATAAAAACAAAAAAATTAGAAAACAAAAAAAAAACTCCCTGTAATTTCACAAACCTCTCAGACATGGTGGCGATGGTTTTGAAGGCCAATATGAGAGAGCGGTCAGGGTTGGAGCCGCGATTCTGCCACCGCCCAAGTGAAGAAGTCAAGAAATCACTGGTAGTCCCATTGGGCTTGGAGATCACGGTGGACAATCCGCCGTCGGTCAGTAACGGATTACTGGGACCGCCAACTCGAACCGGGTCATTGTCCCCTGACTCATTCGCAAAAGTTCTCCACTCCGAAGTCTCATCGATCGAGTGGGACTCCAAAACCAAACCGCACTCCGAACAAACCATGTCCCCGGCCGAATGGTCGAACACCACTTCCGTACTCTTCTTACAGTCCGAACAATACGCATCCGCCATAAAAGAGAAGAAGAGGGAACGGAAAGAGCTTTTTTGCTTTTCTTTTTTTTTTTTTTTTTGGGTTCCTTATTTCTATCTGGATATATCTGTTTATCTGATTTTTGTTACCATTAATTGAGGAAGAAAACTGGTGGGATTTTGGTGCTACTATTTTTTTTATACAGAAATGGAAGCCCCAGTGTGTGTACTGTGTGAGAATTGCTTTTTGTATGTTTGCTTGTTTGCGGGTTGGTTTCGTTGTTTGTTAGGGGCTGGAGCCTGGAGGGAGCGAGGGAGGGAAGAGTGACGTTTCAGGTTTGCTTTTCGCGAAGGTATCAATTAACAAATTTTCTACGTGCTTAATGGTAGTTAATTGGTTTTATACCTGTGCTGGGGGGCCCCCCGCCGGTGTGGGTATTTGTGGAAAAATATCTATACTATTATTATATGTATTGGTTGAGGAAGGAATTTGGAATTAGCATTGGAGTTAAGGTTTATCTTTACTTTGTAAATTTCTTTTTTATTCTTATAAAAATTATTTTTATTTTAACTATTTAAAACTATTCATGACTATTTTTATTTTTAACTATTTATGTATATGTTCTCGGTAATAAAAATTTTATCTAAAATATATGACCATAAATATTATATATTTTTTTATTACACACATATTAGGCGAGCATTGAGCACTAGCACCAATCGTACCTCACATTTTGAGGTTGTTAACTTTTAGTCCTTCATGTATAAAACAGCAGAACATTCTAACCCTCGTTTGGTACGCAAGAATTATCGGAAAGACCTTTTCATCCAGAATAATAGGGAGAAAATTTTATCATTTCAATGTCTAGTACGCGAGTCTGAATAAAATATTTATTAATTTTTCAGCATTTAGTATAATTCATATTTAATTGTCAGAATAGAATACAATTAATTCAAATTTAAGATGTAACTTGTTTTGCTTGGTCTACCATGTTATTTGTTTGTTTACATGGAATCTTGACATTTTTTGCTTACAAAATAATTGATGATTGATAGTAAAAATTTTCATCAATTATAATATTTAATTCATTTTAGCATATGGATTTTTATGTTAAAATTTTACATCCGCTAGCAATATAATTAATTAATTAGAAATGTAAAATATACATTATATGAAGCCAAACAATTATAGTACATTTTTAAATTTTATTATGTTTTTATTTTTTATATAAGATACAAAAAATTTACACAATTCTTTAAAAGTCAAAGAATAAAGTACCTCAAAATATTTGTTGGCTACTAAAAAAGTTTATTTTAAATACAAGATGAATTATTTATTAAGAAAATTTATATTTTATCATTTATTGAGCTGACTAATTTATTGCAGTTTAAATCTAAAATTTTTACTCGCCACCTTTACGACTAATAGTTAAATTTCTTACCTTGTGAATGTTTTAAAATTTGAAAGTATCAATCACTTACTTCTTTTTGTCATACTTTTCCTTTGTTTATTTTTTCTTTTTTGAAATTTAATTTGATATAAACCTTCTTTGTTTTCAATTTTCGAATAAAAGGAAATGAACATGAATGAAAAACTAACAATTTTTTTTAAGATCTCAGATTATTTTTTATTTTAAGTGTAAGTGGGAGTCTTAAACTGAAGACTTCTCACCTACACTTCGCCCAGCCAATCCCTCCCCCAAATAAAATATGCCTCCAATTAAATGCATAGATTTGCAGCATAATGCACATTTAAGGGCATTTGTATCCACAAATCATACTTTTCATACGCTTAATAGAGGTTGCATTTGTCTTTTTCATTTTTTTTTTCTCCACATATTATATAACACATTGCGCAATGCATCTAAAATGAAGTCTTATGTAAAATTTTAGGTTTACCGGGTTCAATATTGAATCTTATTGAGAAAATTTTAAAACTCAAATTCAAACTTTTACATAATTATCATTCATTCAAGTCTGACGGTGTATACACTGTCAGGGGGTAAGAGACTTTAATCCCAAAAATTATTAGTCGAAAACTATACATTAGTTTTATGCAAGTTGTAGAAAGTGCAACATTTTGACGTAGGATCTAAGCAATTTAGGTTTGGTGTGGTTGGGATTGAATTGAATGAATATCCCGTGTATTAGCAGTGTCCTTTTGTAGCATCATTCTGAAACCGTTTGGGTTCATATAATTAGTTCTCCAATTGTTTTCAGTGTTATATTTTTGATAGGAGGAAAAAGTTATTTGCAAAAGTGTTATTTCCCTTTATTTGTAATTAATCCACAGGTTTGTCACCTTTTTTCCTATGGATAAAGAACCCACGAGTCATATGGATAAAGTTAGAACGAACTCAAGTTGTCTAATTGTATGAATAGATCATGTCATCATCGTAAGTTCCTTGTTGAAATACATATTTTGTAGTCTTGCAATGCAGGATAAGATGACAATCTTAGAGTTTTAGTCCGTAACATTTGGACCCTATATCAAAGTGGCTAGTAAAATTTTGGTTGGCTTTTAAAAAAGGATTAACTTGTTATGTATTGACAGAATAATAATGATTTTTTCACACTAACAATCTTGAATGTACGTCACATGTATATAATTTAAATTTGCATTCTGTGATATAATCTGAATCTGTTTGTTAAAAAAATCTTTACGCTGACAATATATAAAAATGTTATTCTTCAAAAAAATTATTTTCATAATTACACATTCATAAAACTCAATAATTATTAAGATACACCTAAAAAAATAACAATAACACACACACACACACATTAACATCCCTTTTCTCACCACTAACTCCATCTCTCTCAAACGACCTTCACTCACCCGTCCAACCCAACACTCCCTTTTACACCATACTCCCTTTCCTCAAATTGGAGGAGAGAGAGTGCGGGTTGAAGGAGAGAGAGAGAGAGACAAAAACATTTTTAAAGATTTCTAACCTAAAAACATTTTTAAAATACTTCAAGAAAAAAGATAATTAAATACAGTGTACCATAGGTTTTTAAAAGAAAAACGTTTATGGTTAAAGTTTTCTAAAAGTACATAAAACAACTATCCGAATGGACCAGTAGCAGAAGTTAGGGAAAAAATTAATCTAATCATTAATGTTTTTAATTTTGACCTAAAACAAATAATAAACAGATTTGGCCAATTATCACTCATGATATAGATATTTGCTAAAATGTCCAACTTTTCATGAACAAATCACTTCCTATCTTTTAACACAAAATTCCTAAATTATGCAATTAACAAACTAAAACTGCAACTGCTTACGATTTACGAAACCTTGGTCTAGTGACTATAGTTGAAAACTCAAGAATTAAGAGCGTCGAATTCAAATCCTCCTTTTCTTTCCACGCTTCTTAAATCCCACTCATCATTGGTGAAAGAAAGAGAAAAAAAAAAAAAAGACCACTAAATTGTGACTCACAACTGCATAGAATTGGGAAATAAGATAATTGGGTATTGTTAAATGGCTTCCATCACATTATCACTTTAATCTAAAGTGTCAATGGGTTATGAGTAGGTTTTGAAACCACACAAGTGAAATGGATCAAGACACTCACCCACACGGAGTGTAATCCTATTCATCCATGAATTCCTAAATTATGATACTTACATTCAAACCAGTTTTGACTCCATTAACTACGAATGGGACCATACATTGGTATCGTCTTATTCATTCATGAATTCCTAAATTATGACACTGAATTGAAGCTTCACATTAGAATATCCACTGAATTGTGGTTCTTTGAAGGTTGAGCAGCCGCACCAGAGGCTCATGAATCCATAGCCAAGCATGAGAAAACGAACAATCCACCCATTCCAGAAACACAAAAGCAAGAAATTCAAAGAAAATTGGGAAGAAACTCTTCATTAATGAATTGATTGATGCTGGCCTATGTGAAAAATTTTCAATTGTACACTCGGACATCCAAAATTAACTTGTTTAATTATCTATACCGATACAAGGGGAAAAGCAAAGTGACAAAAAAGAACTAAAAAAGAAAAAAGTTGATACAGGGTTTTCCCCCTACAAGAATAAGAGCCAAATGCAACATACAAATAAAGCCTAATCTGCAGCGACTATCACACCATCTAGGATTTTGGATTCGCAAGGCTCTTGAGGTCTTTTTCCTTGGCATACCACTCTGGTATTATTTTCGAAGCATGGGGAAAGAGGTCCTTGTAGGCATTCTTGATTGTCCCTTCAGCAACTGTAGTAGCAATAGAAATATCTGCAAGATACTTTTCCAATCACACACTTTGTACAATGAAAAAGTAGAGCAGATGTAACCAACTCAATGACAACCCAAAGATCAGACAACAGTACTGTACAATATTTTTCTGGCAACTAGGGAGATTTAATAACCTATTCTGCAACTCCGCCAAGTCAGTATAAATCTTCTTAAACTATTTAAAGTTCCCCACCACCATGAATGAAATAAAATGGTAAATGCTCAAACCTCGCAACGGCTTCCTTGAATCTGAGAGCTGCGTTATCATGTAAATTATTGCAGCAGCTATAGATATAGGGCTTCTCCTGCAATAGGAGAAAATAAAAATATGAAAGAATGTTGTTTAGCAATCACAACACGATATCAGTCACATGCCATGGAATCTCACTGTTTTTAATAACAGACAGCAATATTAAATGTGTAAATCCATTTTAGTACAGACACCAAAATACTTGATTGATCACCCTACAAATCATGTCTAGTACCAGACTACTTGGTACACCATCCAGACGAAACCAAAAACTTCTTGAAGCCACAGATTTGACTCCACAAAACTTCTCCAAGAATTCAATTAAAACTTTTTTGCTGCATCTCAAACTCAAAAGAACCATGTTCCGCAGACAATCACTGCCCATCAATTATTTATGTCAATTTTTACATGCTTCCTTTATTGGCTGTTGAATACTGGCAGCAATTTGCAATTCCTGATTCTCAAAAAACATGGGTTTTCAAGTACAGCACATCACTGCACTCTTATTGCATGTTAACCACCTATCCAGACATCAGAAAAATGTACTTCTTTTTCTGTTCCTGACTAACTATCTTTCACCTTACAGGACCATCAGAATGCATCGTTTTGAGCATCTAATTTTCAAATGATTACTCAACGTACAAAAGAACAGCATTGCACCTAAAGGATGTCTAAATGTTATAGGCCTGCAGGGAACCTACATATGTCATACACATATGCTGTATCCAAGCAAGAAAGAAAATGCCCTTGCAAAGCAGGACAAGGAAATTGCCAATACATCAATAATTCACAGAAGCACAAGGATTCACTTCTAGTGGAGACAGTTCAGGCAGGTATAAGAGGACAAGCAAGGAAA